TCCATCCTTACCTGAACCTCCGGCTGCAAAGCCGGGGCCCGCTCGGCGATGACGGTGAGCGTCTGCACGAGCGCGTAGCTAAGGCCGCCAAAGAACACCCTGTCCACCAGCTCGTGGGTATCCTCATCCAACAGGGTCGCCTTTTTCCCGCCGCAGCCGCCACCGCCACCGCCAACGCCGGCTACGGGGCGCGCGGCTCCCGCGGCGCCCCCTACCGGACGAAACGTAGACCCCCCGCTGCCATGTGTAGGAGCGGCGACACCTTCCGCAGGGATGGTGGAGGCACTGCTTGCCTGTGTTTCGGGCACCGTCGCCGCCGCCGTCGTGACGGCCGGTTTCGGTGTCGGGACATCTTCCACGGCAGCAGCAGCAGCAGCAGCAGCAGCAGCAGCAGCAGCAGGAGGAGGAGGTGCCGTACTCGCCGCCTGCGGAGGTGAGGAGGAGGATGTCGGAGTCGTCGTCGTCGATGACGGAGGCTGCTCTTCCGTGGGGTACGAGGGCTCCGCCGTCGCCGCTGCCGCCCCGTCTTCTGTCGGAGCCGTGGGCGTCATGACCAGCACCCGCCCGGGATAGATCAGGTCCGTTGTGAGCCCATTCCACGCCTTTAGTTCCTCCACGCTTATGCCCTGGGCCTCGCAGATGGACAGGATGGAGTCTCCTCCCTTGACCGTGTAGGTCTTCCACGGGGGCGGCGGCGGGCCTGAAGCGTCAACAGAGGCTGCTGCTAGCCCGGGCATCTCCTCCTGTTGCTCTTGAGAACGCGCGTCCGTCGTTACCGCTGCTCGCGCAGAAGCCAGCGGTGGCGGTTCTGCCGCCGCCGCCGCCGCCGCCGTCCCGCCGGCCGTAGCCTGCGGAATCTCCCCGGCTACAACGACGGAACCTGCCGCCGCCTCCTGAGTACTCCGATCGTCACCCCCAACGTTCGATGGCACCACCTCTCCCTCGGAGTCCATCACGACGCCAACAACCACCGACGTGTCTTGCGGAAGGAGAAGGCCCGTCTCCGAGGAGGTGGACGGGCTAGACTTGTTGCCCGTCATTGGGCGTGGGGAGGTAGGGGCCGACAGGAGGTGTGGGGTTGGAGAGATTCGCCCCCCCGCCGCCGCTGCTGCTGCTGCTGCTGCTCCTGCTCCTTCGCCTCCTAGTTGCGCTGCCGCGGCGGCGTCGGTGGCTGCGGACGCTGATCCAATAATGACGATCATCTGAGGGGGACGAGAGCAAAAGGCAGGGAGCGCCACCGCCATGAAACACGTGCATGCGTTTTCACCGCCTGCCCCCTCAGGGAGGCTTCCATGTCTTCAACGTGCCAACGCCGAGCCAAGAACGGCCAAGAACGACAATCATCTGCGATGGGTGCAAACAGCTAACACAACAAACACACACAAACCAAGAACAGGGGGCACGGTGCACCGCCGTCCAACACGTGATGCGTTTCCAAGAGTCCTCCCCCCCCCCCCCCCCCCCCCCCCCCCCCCCCCCCCCCCCCCCCCCCCCCCCCNACACACAAACCAAGAACAGGGGGCACGGTGCACCGCCGTCCAACACGTGATGCGTTTCCAAGAGTCCCCCCCCCCCCCGCCTCACCCAGGGAGACCTGATTTCTTCGACCCAATGCCGAACTAAGGCTGACTCTTATGCTCACATGGATTGATATTTCTCGGCCCACATAGATCCCACAGCAGTCACTACTATTAGCTTCAAAGACGCCTACAGGTGTGGTGCGCACAGCCTTCAAGGTTTGGTGGCGATCCGACCATCTAGAGGGAGAACTCTGTGGTGATGTGGTGAGAGGTCTGACTCTTGGTCGAATCCATGTCAAATACGGGGCGTGGGGGTACGCCAGTCCAAAAAAATCCGTCGGGCCATTTTTGGATCGCCATAAGAGTCAGCCTAACAACGAAAGTTTGCGATGAGTCTCACAAGCGAAGCCACACACACACACACACACACACACACACACACACACACACACACACACACACACACACACACACACATCAAAAACAGGGGGCTACGCCGTCAAACACGCACATTTCTTTCCACGGGCCCCCCTCCACCCCCGGTCCCACGGAGAACCAATCTCTTGCCCCCCCCCAGCCAGCAAGATCCGGGGATAAAACTATCGCGTCCCCTCCCCGACCGAAAGCCAACAAATACAGACGTCATTTTCACTGGTCAGCGCGGTCGATGCCACTAAGAATAAACAAAAAAACACATACTAAAGCCAGAGGCACCGGACGCGTACAGTACGTGCATACCAAATAAGTTTGTTGGATTTATCGTGGGGCTCCAAGGAGAAAGTGTTCGAATTTCCGCCTATCGGGATCCTTGAGCAAAATACCTCGAGACAGGCCAGAGACTGAGGGCAGAAGTCCCGCCGATCCTCCGCCAACCCTTCCTTCACCACCTCCCGAACGCTGTGCCACAGAGAAGGGGCTCCGCGCCAAACCCCGGTGCCCGCGGCCAGCCCGAGCCTCGCCAGCGACAGGTAGGCCAAGCCCCGATCGCTTCGCTGGCCCTGCGTTCCATCCCGCCCCGCCCCGGCAGAAAACAAGGAGGAAGAGCGAGAAGCACACACGCAAGCAAAGAGAGAGAAATGGAGCAGGGGAGGGAGAATAATCGGAGCAATCAAAGAGGAAGAGGAGGAGGAGGAGGAGGAGGAGGAGGAGGAGGAGGATAAGGAGGCACACAACGCCAAGGGAGAGAAAGTGTCGACGTACAGCGATAGAAGCCCAAACCTACCACCACCACAGCAACTCGACCGAAAACAACGCGCTGCTTGTATAATCGCTCACCTGCCGGAGCGTGTGGATGAGGAACCACACGGCTGGCTCCACGAACTCCCCCGCCCCCCCCGGAAAGAACGCCACCAGCTCCGGCAGCAGCGCCATCACCGTCCTCCTCACGGCGACCTCCTTATGGTCCCTGCGGGCCAGCACCCTCTCGCAGAGAAGCCGATACTCCGCCTCCTGTTCGGCCTCCGCCATCGCCGCCGCTGCCGCCGCCGCCGCCGCCCCCGCCGCCCCCCCTCCCAGCATCCCCAGCACCTGGTAGTTGTGGTGGTGGGGGGACGGGGGCGGGGGCACCACGCCCCTCGCTGCCGCTGTCACCGCTACGCTACCGGCGCCTTCGGGGAAGAAAGCGCCGCGGCCTTTCTGCGACTGTGCCGTGGATGGCCCACCACCGGCAGCGTTACCGCCGCCGCCGCCGCCGCCGCCGCCGCCGCCGCCGCTCCCGGCGGTGCTTGGCGCGCCCACGGGGGTGGCGGCACCGGCGAACATCTTCGACAGATCGCCGCCGCTGCCGCTGCCGCCGCCGCCGCCACCGCCACCGGTGCCCCGCGCGGGGGGGGGGAGCATCTGCGGCGCCAGCCGCACGCCGCTGCTATTGTTGCTCGCGACAGGGGTGGCCGCTCCTCCTCCTCCTCCTCCTCCGAAGGGCGTCGTCGCGCCCCCTCCGAACGGAGTCGCCGTGCCCGAAGTCGCGCCGCCGCTGCCGCCACCGCCGTAGTAGGGTCCCGGGTTGTTGTCTTCCGTGCTTCCCCGTCGGCGTCGACGGCGGCGCTGGTGACGGTGCGCCATCCAGGGCCCCGGGTGTCGCAGGAGCTGCCGGATGACGAGGAGGCTGCCGTGGACTCGTTCGGCCGTGCCTTGCTCGAAGCCTTTTTTTTTTGTGCGAAGGTCGCGCGTGTTTTGCGTAGGAAAGTCGAAAGTTGGTCATTATAATAAAACGCTATGAATTCGTTGCTAATAATAATAACCTTTCCCGGACTAATTATCTCCGGAGGAGATGAATGCGCTGTGTTCTTCTAAGAAAAAAATAAATACAAGTCAAAGAAAGAATATGTTGCCAACGACGAGTAGTCCTCGTCGTCGTCGTCATCCGTGGGTACGACCGCTAAAACCATAACGTTCGCTTTCGGTGGGTTCATATACTGCACAGGCGCACAAGGACTGACATCAACAGCAGCAACATCAGCTATTCTCCTATCCCTAACCCTAACCCTAAGGTACCTACGTAGAGCAACTGACGGTGTTCCTTCTTCGATCATGTACTGCATACCATGGTATGTTTTTTCGTATGGGAAGACAACAACATATGCACACAAAAACTGACAACAGCAGCAGCAGCAGCAGCAGCAGCCGCAGCCGCAGCAGCAGCAGCAAATGTCTCCCAAGAACAACGGCCACAACGCTACTTACACCACACATGTATGCACGAGCTACACAACATCCTTTCTTCGATCTCAGCAGTCTCCTCAAGGAGAAACGACCACAAGGCAACGCACACCACAATACACATGTAATAAGGCTACATCAACGTACTGTATGCATACCTTCCTCGATCTTGTCCAGCACGAGTCGGGAGTGCTTGGGTGTGCTCTGCCTCTCGTGCACCAGCCGAAGCATAGCCCCGAGGGCGGCGGCCGCTCGGACACGCACCGCCGCCGACTTAACAAAAAAATCGGTTTCATCACGAACCGGTACAATCACCATCGGAAACACACAAGACAGACAATCGGACGGTGGTTGAACAGATGGTGGAGCAATGTTGCGAGGGCTGCTGCGCTTTATGGGTGAACAGATGTTGGAGGCCGGATAGCAACAGAGAAAAGGAGATAGACAAATACATACTTAGAGAATGACAGACAGACAGAAAACATCGAGGGAGAGGGAGGGAGGGAGGGAGGGAGGGAGAGGCGAGAGCCAGAGAGAGATCCTCCCTGACCGCTAAATTACTCAGAGCTACACGCGCTCTAGTTCTAAAATCCATCAAAGAGCACCAACAAAAACAACGACAGAACAGCAGAGGTCTATTAGCCTCATGGCTGCAGGTCCATTTCTGTCAACGGACGACGCGCTTGTTCCACCAGGTACACCCAGGACTTCTTATGCGGAGAACAAGCCACGGCCGCTTGAGACAAACATAACCCACATTCCCCCTTTTCGTCCTCTCGCCGTGAGGTTATTGAACACCATCGCCGATACCACCGCCACCACCACCACCAACAACAACACCAACAACAACAACCGCAAAGGTCTAGGTCTCGACCGGCAGCCCCCACAGCAAACGGACGAGGCGCTTGTCCCACGAGACACAAGTACACACGAGTTCTCCGCGAACAAGAACCCCCCGCCCCCCCTCCGCCAGCTCAATGGTGTAACGACTATGGCATGCACGACTATGGCATGCACGACTATGAGTACCTCCCCTCCCCCTCTCACCGTGAGGTCGTTCACTACCAGCCAGATGGTCTCAAAGAAGGCCCCCCGCCTGTCGTACACGACGGCCGGAGCGTTCTCCGCCAGCTCCCGGAGCACCAGGGCGCCGGCGTACCTCTGATTCTCGCCCTTGGGGCCGGTCACCTTGATCAGTTCCATAGCCGGCTTCGCGAACTCTCGCTCCAACACCTGCAGCAGCAGCAGCAGCAGCAGCATTTGATAAGGAAAATTCAACGTGTTCTCCTTCCCCGTGGCAATAACTAAAAAAACGTTAACGGCATGTACGTCTAGATAACCCAGCCACACCGTTGCTGCGACTCATCAGGAACGACCGCTCGTGTGAACGTCGGGCTGGGTCAACCGACAACGGCATGCGTTTTCATGAGTACAAACCCTCTCCGTCAACGGTCTCACCGCTAAGGCATAGAATACAAGACCATGCAGAGCCTGGTCCGGTGAGAACCCGGCGTGCTCCCTCCCGGCTTGGTAGGGATGCGAGGTCAATGGTCTAACGACTACGGCGTTCGTGACTATGAGTACCCCGCCCCCCTCCCCCCCCCCGCTTCAACCACCAAGGAAGGCGTAGGCGCCGGCGCGTACCTGCATCTCTCCGCTGCAGGCCCTCGACAACCCCCCCACCGCCCCCGCGGCCACCTCTAGCAAGCTGGTCCTACCCCCCTTGGGCGGCACGGCTGCATCGCCCCCGCTCTCCAAGATCCTCCTGAGCTCGGTAGCGAAGTGCCGCCGCCGCTCCGCTCCGCCGGCCGTCTTGCTCTCGCTGCTCGCCGTGTGTCCGTCGCCGACCTTTGTGCGGAAGAGGAAGAAGCACGCCAAGCATGTATCTAGCATCAGCAGGTTGGTTGCGCACACAAAAAAAAATACCCGAAACCAGTGTCTACACCACTGCTTTTTCTCTGTAGGTCGCCGACCATCGCACAAAAATGAAGAAAATCTCCAAACAGCAACATGTATCTAGCACTAGCAGATTGTTGCCTACATATTTACACACCCGAAGCCAGTCACTTGGATTTATCTGCCCGTCGCCAACATTGGCGCGAAAAGGAAGAACATCGCGCAGCAGTCTCTTACCACTAGAAGATTGGTTGCGTATGTGTTGTCTACAGCGCTACCGTTGCTTTCTGTCTGCTTTTCGTGCTCGCCCACCTGGACGAGAGCCTCGAGTGTTCTTATGCCCCCGAGCACCCTTTCCGTTTCGACCGCCGCTCCGGACGACGACGACGACGAACCGGCAGCAGTTCCGCCGCGCACCAGCGCCAGGGCGGTCGCATCGAGGTCTCTGAGGAGCAGGCACACCGGGGGGGGGTGCATGCGGGCAAGAAGAAATGAGCACGTAGAGCGCGCAGAAGAAGAGAGCCCTTTGAGATGAAGGGGGGCCATTCGAAACCCACGATGATCGTTTTTTAGAAGACGAAATCAAACCATTGACTAGCTGACTGCCTTAATGGTCGGTTTGGTTTAGGCTTCTAAAGCCCAGACACACACGCTGTAGATCCGAGGCTTCGCCACTCGCCCCACACTAGACTAGCGGCCCAACGTCAGAGTACCATCGCCTCGATAGCACCGTGCAAGGCCGGTAGCCCAGCCTCCCTCTCGCCCCCTTTCGGGCACTCACTCCCGGAGTCTGAGCGAGGCTTACCTCAGCTGAGCCGTGGTATGCATAGGTCTTGATATTTCCCCTCCCCCTCCCCTCAAACGGCGGGAAGCGATATCGGTAGGATAGAAAGGCTAGGGAATACACTTTTGAGCCACCTTTGGTAAAGTAGGAAGGAACGATTGGCCATCGGTGATCGGCCCTGTGGGAACAATGCTCCGTCCTCTCGACGACGCGTGGTCGATGGTCTATCCGCTAAGGCATGCAACACACAAGGGTGCGCCCCCCCCCCCCCCTCCTTACGGGCGGTACAACAGTAGCGCTGCTGAGGCGGCCGTACTTGAGCCTACTAACCGCGCAGTGAAGCCCCCCTCAACGGTACCCCAACGGCGCTCCAACGGTTCTCCCGTGCTCCAATGCAGTCACTAATGAAAACTTGCGAGAGTATTAATTGAAGCCGCAACACCAGGGGGGCAGGACCTCGCCTCCTCCCTGCTGACAGCACTCGAAGAACTGTCAGCAATATTCGGGAGCGGTATCTGCCTATGCGCCAAGAATATGGTACGTACCACCCATCACACACTCCCAAAAACACTCCCTATAAACAGTCAAAGTACTCGGGAGCGGTATCTGCCTATGCGCCAGGAACATGGTACGTATCACCCATCATTTTTTTCTCCTGAAAGAACTCGCTATGCATAGAACAGTCAAACATATTCGATGCCTGCCTATGCGCCAAGAGCATGGTACCTATCACCAACACCTTCTCCCTCTTACAAGCACTCCCTAGAACAGTCAAAATACTCGGGATTGATATCTGCCGATGCTCCAAGAACTTGGTACATAGATATCACCATATTGTTATCACCTTTTCCCTCCTCAAACACCCCCCTCAAAGCAGGAAAACATTCGGAAGTGCCACGTGCCTACGCGCCAAGGACATGCCACGCATCACCTTCTCCTTCGCAAAAGCACTCCTAAGAATACTCAAGATATCCAACGACATCATCGTATGCATACGAATCACCACAATCACCTTCTCCTTCCTGCAGGCACTACAACATTCGGGAGTGTTTCCTGCCAGCGCTCCACACCTGTCCCTGTCATCACCTTAGCAGCGTCGTGAACGCAGAACCCGGCCTCTCGCCCCCTTGTTCCTCGATCGCCAGCCGGAGGGACTGGACCGCCCGTGCTGACCCCTGTCCGTCCCAGCTGCACAGCCTGCGGCGCGCAGCACATAATAGCGGCCGCGTTGCACACACAAGATGCGGCAAGAAGCACACAAGGCATACCACGTTTGTCTTCGAATCTTTCAAATACAACCTGTTTTCTCTCTACTGCAGTCGTGGCTTCTTCACATGAGGGTGTTGCGAAAAGGGCCCTCGACCCTCTAATATCGGAACCCCTCTTATAACGGAATAAGAAAGTACTCAACTATACTATAGAGGGTCGAATCCGTTACAGTCGATTTCGACCCTCTTGTATCAAAGCCATGACTGTAGTAAGGTTATCTTCGTCTTGTTCGTCCTCTGCAACAGGAGCCTGGTCGTACAACAATCGTTGTGTACGTCAGACTGTTTAGTGATGTGCACCCATCGTTGGGTAGTTGGTCTGTGACCACAGGGAAGGCGTCCGAGTCAACTGGACAGGTACCGCTGTTGGAAGGTATTGAGCGGCGAGCGTACCGTTTTCGATTCTTGAAAGTAAGAACAACGCCAACAACAAATTCCCACTAAGTAACGCCATCCATACACACATGAGCACGAATTGAAACAGGTGGTATGCCATGTACAACATGAAGTTTGAAGCCGAACACCGCGGGGGCCACCGCCCAGGCCAACGGAACGCGCGTGTAGCACACGAAGCAGCAGCGCACGGCTACACGAAAGGAGGGGAAAACGGTACAGACTGTACCATTGCCGACCGATCCAGAGGCATCTGTGGGCTGGGCACCCACGCAAAAAACACAAGCAGCTGTAGAAAAAAAGTTGTCAACGCAACGTGTCAGGAGGATACCGGGAACACGGAGCTGTGCGCGGCGCCCATGCATCGTGTCTCGCAAAATCAATCAGTGTCTCTGGCGCTGTTCGCAGGTGTCTTACCACAACCGCAGTACCTCCCACGGAACAACGTCTATCTTGGACCTAAACCTCCAACAAACATTCAGCGACACCAATTCGAACTATTTGGTACGTGCCACTGCTGTGTCGTGGTGCCTATTATACGTACCGCTTCCGTCACGGAAAACTGATTGCCTGCAACTGTCTGATGTTGACAAGTGCTTCGGGTAATTCGTCCCCTCCCTCCCCCCCCAAAAAAACATTAAATACAACTCCGCACGCTCCTTACCCGGGCCAATAAGGAGCCAGCAGGGGATGAAGTTCGCCGGTGGTCGACGCAGCCATGACAGACAATGAGCCTACGGTATAGCGGCGTGCTAAGCCCCCTGTTCGGAATGCACCCCCCTCCTCCTCCAGGCTGCCACACGCGGCCAAAGGCAAGGTTTTTGATGCCAACCGTCAGGCGTGCCTTGGTGGCGGGTAAGCGCGAGCAAGGTAGCAAGGAAGGAGGGCGGGCAGCACGCCCTCACCTGCCTCGATCTTACGGCGGAAACTGCGAGCGAAGGGGGATACGAACAACAGGAACACGGGTATCGTCATCCTCGTTGACGTACCAAGTAGAAGAGCAAGATAAGTGATGCCGGAACCTCCAAGAAAAAATAATGAGGCATGTACCGCGCGCGCACGGGGAGGGGGTGTACTCATGTCCTACAGTAGTCGTGAGGCCAACTTGGGGGGGGGGGGGGGGGGGGGGG